CATCTGTTAGAAGGCCGTTTTTTGGTGGTCCGGTATACCAAGTCCTTGTCCAACTAAAAAACGTATTGGTTGGCGGGTTTCGGTGTGCAGAAGCTGAGGGGTGGATGAATTTTCACTACCCCAAAATAAGGCTTTCTGCCTTATGAGTCAGAAGCTTTTTTTTTGTTGTAAATGAATAATATGATCCTACTGAGGCCTGAACAGAAACGGTTGGCGGGCGTTCCCCATCCCTTCAGCATGCCCACCCCGTTTTAAGTAAGGTTCGCGAGGGAAGTATTTACTCCACAATTTCTGTTTGTGCATTCTCAAATGTTGAGGATTATGGTTGGATCGTCGATGAACGCCGCTTAACACCGCTTTGGTTTCAAGGAAATCCAACACATTTGGAAGTTGATGATATATTGGAGGAAAATGGGGGTTTCAAAAAGAACAAGACAATGAAGAAACATAAATTAGTGAATCGGATGAAGAACCTGAATAAATATTACGTTTAATAACCGTTAGCCTAAAGTTTTATTGCATTAACCCTTTTCACGTGGCTCCGGTTTAACAAACCGCAACATACGGCTCAAATTCTAGTGGTAGGTATCTATCACGTCACTTTGTAACCGGGTTGCTTATATATTATTTATATATTTTACTAAATATAAACTAATACAGCACAAGACATGCCTCCAACTTCGTCATTGCAAAATATAATCGGCCTCAGCGCGATTTTACTAAATATAAACTATTAGAGCACAAGAGACGTTAGCTTTGCAAAATATAATCGAGCTCAGCACAATCCTGCAAAATCTAATCGTTGACAGCACAACGTATGGCTGATTCATATAAATGGGGCGCCCACTTTGAATTCTCTTTCCTCCTATTTTAACATTTTGTATCTTCCTTCTACTGCGAGCAGTCGGCTGAACTTTTATTAGTTTTCCTTTATTTTATTTATTTATTTATTATTATTAAAGCTGTTGTGATGGCACATGTAGAGGAAAAGGGCCTAATATTAGGATACTGCCTAATATTGCAAACCTGCACCTACCTATTTTAATAACGTGACTGTATATATCCTATTCACAATCCAATAAATTTTACCTGTACCTGTGGACATCGGATTGTGAATGGATAATATGTCCTTCTCCTAGTAACCAGAAACGTTACACCTTAAAACCACAGAAACCACACTAATAAGTTTGCAGAGTTCTATAATAGACTATGTTGACATAAACGACATTTAATTGAAATGTGTGTGTTTGAAAATTTTTTGCTCCCTAGTTTAGGTGCTGAATTATTATTTTAAAGGGAAACATTTTAAATATTTCTTAATGGGATCACTAACAATAATAATTACCTTCTAACAACAAGTACAATTTGAGGTTAGATCCGCCACGTCATGCTACAAACGATTAGATTTTGCAGGAATGTGCTGAGCGCGATTATATTTTGCAATTACGTCAAGGGCTAGCGTCTCCTGTGCTCTAATAGTTTATATTTAGTAAAATCGCGCTGAGAGCGATTATATTATGCAATGACTAAGTTGGGGGCGTGTCTTGTGCTGTAATAGTAAATTATAACGAGAGAAAAACAACTACAACTTCGCAAAAACTTAATTAATTATATTATTAACAATAGAGCGCCAACCGGCTGCCAACCCAGCGCAGAACGAACGAGCAAGTGGAAATGTTTAATTTCCACTTCTTTTCGTCCTTCAGACTTGTGGGGTAAACACTTTCCTCGCGAACCTTACTTAAAACGCGGTAGGCATGGTGAAGGGAGGGGGAAGGCCCGCCAACCGTTTCTGTTCAGGCCTCAGTAGGTTCATATTATTCATTCACAACAAAAAAAAAGCTTCTGACTTATGAGGCAGAAAGCCTTATTTTGGGGTAGTGTTCATTCATCCACCCCTCAGCTCCTGCACACCGAAACCCGCCAACCAATACGTTTTTCAGTTGGCCGAGGACTTGGCATACCGTTCCACCAAAAAATTGCCTTCAAACAGATGACTGAGGCTTTTGTGTCACGGGCTCTCGTAGTATTAGTAGAAACAATTAGTGAACTTTTGTTGAATTGAAATAGTGACTTCATTAGCTCGTGGTGTTGACTCCAAAAAAAACAAGTCCACACAACAAAGATTATAGCATTTTGTAGCCCTGCCTTAGACCTAATAGAGAGAATTCCGCTAGTTCCCAACAAATCTAAGCCGCACTGGTTGATGCGTCAAAGTATTGTTATGGGTATCAACTCCGCCGACACGTTTACCCAGAGCAAGGCAACAGAAAGTTGTTGAAATTTCCATTAATAGAATTATGGAAGTTGAACAATTTGATGCTTATAAAAATGTCCGAAATTTGGAGAATTCCGTTCACTTTCGGAAATATTTTAACTGGTTCCATTACCAAAGATAGAAAAAAATCAAGGTAACTTTCTTGAAGTACTTTTTTTGGAGAGGTCTCAATATTCGGTATTCCAGGGTCATCATGAAACTATTTGTTTCTAATACGAACCTGAATTTTCAATAACATAATTTGTTCGGAAAATAATTTTTTACAGCATACCCAGCGGCCAGCAGTATCCCACCGAGTCCGATATAATAAAATGTCACATATAAAGTCCGCCTTACGAGTCTAACGATACGACGTCTGAAGAGCAAGGGGACATAACGCCATTCATTTCGAACTTAATGCTGCCTGTCATAGGCGAGCGCGCAACGTTTTTGAATATTACTTTTTCGTTATAAATGTAGGCGTGTAATATAAATAGATATTGGGGTATTTTTCATTGGAAGTCAAATAGGCAATATTGCAATTTTTTTATCCGCATTATTTCCATTGCGCTAGACTCGTAAGGCGAACTTTAGGTGTACGACTCGGTGTACAAGGCAAATTACCTGCATTAATATCTCACAGCATAACTTTCAACAAAACAGTATAAAATTGAATATTGTACGTTCTTCTCTTCGTCCTGGAAAACTTTTACATAGGCTATTCGCGAGGGTATTCGTTTAAAAATCTCGGACTCAGCTCCTTGCCTCATTTTTCATTATTGCAACGTTTGTGATAGGTCATAGCTTTTAAGTAGGTACCTAGTCCAAAGGTAACAAAATTTAAAAAAAAAAAAACAGGGTTGTATTGAGAAAATAACATTGATGATGTTTTTTGATAGTCGAAACAGGATTTTAAATTTCAAATATGAAATAACGTGCGAGAAAAAGAAGAATTTATGCAATTTCTTTTTTTTTCCGGTTTAACGGTTTCCGATATCCCAATGATTGGGCTTCAATTTGGACCACCCTGTGTATAAAGAATGCTGCTCATAACCAAACCATCAAGTAGCAGCGAAGCTCTCATCTAAGCCCTAGAAATCGTACCGGCCTATCCTATAAGAACCAAAAATCACACCGTTGTCACTCACCACACTACAAGAAGAAAAACAACCGAAAAGAGAAATAATTGAAGACTCAATAACAATTAACAAAAATCCTGGAAGAAATAGTGGAGGTGGGTACCAGAATCAGGAACCTGAAAGAGGTCACCGAATGTTAACGCTGCTGAAGAATGCTAAACAAGACTGTACCTATAGTACAGCTGAGATCTCTCTCTTTCTGGACACTGGAGATGTTAATGTATAGGCCTGTTCGCACAGAAATCACAAACCAGTCAGAGCGAATTTCATTGGTTGAAACTAGTTTTCTGACTGTTTCTGACTGTTTCTGACTGTTTCCAACCAATGAAATTCGCTCTGACTGGTTTGTGGTTGCTGTGCGAACAGGCCTAATATTACATACGGAGGTGGAAAGTGTTTCATTATTGTCGAGAGATACTATGGTTGACCGAGTTGCGAAGCGCCGAGGTCAACCAATTCTCGAGACAATATATGTGAAAACTTTCCACCGAAATATGTATACTATTTTATTTTGAACCATTAATTATTGGAAAAAATAAGGTAAAAATATGACAAAAAGGAAATTTTGACTGACCTTCCTGATACCGACATTGACATCTTAGGAAATTTCAACAATACAAACACATGTGACATCTACTGTCTATGCCAAAAAAAAAATATTTGGTAGTACGATTTTTGCTTTTTTGCTAAACATTTTTTACACTAAGTTTTTTTATACAGGGTGTCCCAAGAACAGCTGTGCCAGTGTCTTGTACCAACTTTATTTTTTTTAAATGGCACTTCCCATCTATCATCACTATAGCGTGTCCTATTGAAAAAAAAAACCGGACTTTTGGTTTTTATGAAATTTGAGCCTCAAAGTGGAGGGTCCATTATCTAGCTCAGAAATTGATGTTTCCTATTAAAAGTGTCCAAATTGGACTACCCTGTACAGGGTTTAAGGGTTAGCAAACTTGACACTCCAGGTTTATGGCATGAAAACGAAACGAGACAAGAAATCAAAAATTTATTCAATTGGGATATTTGACTTGCTCTCAAGTCATGACAAAAATAGCACATGGGAACATATTATTGTTTTCAGCCGAAATCCTTGGAAATCATCCGAAATCATTCGAAATCCCTCAAAATCGCTCGAAATCCGAAATCTTGTCACATTTTTCCCTTAATGATTAACCCCTCGACTATTTTATTTACAACAATTACAACCATCACAATTTTGACTAAATACTAAATAAAAATTTAAACAATTTGTTGACAAGTTCTGACGTATCTAAAAAAACGTTTGACATGCAGGACTTGTCTTCAACATTTTAGGAAATAAGGGCTTACTTTCAACCCGGGAGGAAAGTAGAATTAAAAAAAGTGTCACTTTCAAACATTTGAAAAGTCAGAAACGTCAACATTACGTATATGGTTGCAACTAAAAATGTAGATAGTTGTGAACAGATAAATGATGAATGATATATGTAGTTTTATTTGTAGTAGTGCTTGTTTTGTCGTAATTTTTGTGTTATCGTCCATAAAATTTATTCAAGTTAAAAATTCTAATAAATCTTGTACAAATCGATAAAAGTTTATCTACACCGAAAATTGTAAATACTTACATCGCAGACTACATTATCGCTATTTAGAGATTCTTCCTTTTTTTCGGGACTTTGTGGATTGCTGTTGACTACATCCTTTTGCGGAATGAAATTTTGTTGATTGGACGAGTGTTCGTGGTTTGGGGAAACATGTCCTTGTTTTTGGAATTCTGGACTACTGTAACAACAAACAAAAGAATAATATTATTTATGTCCGATTGACCAATAAAGTACTACTTATAGAACAGTTTTAGCATCAATAAAGTAGCACTTTATTTTACTAGTAATACAAAGTGCTACTTTATTGCAATATTGCCTACCTCAATTTTTTTAATTTTCAATAAAAACCTGTCGCAATCGTACATAAAATCATGTATAGGTAACGCCTACATAAACAGGCTTCACTACATAGTATAAAACAAAGTCGCTTTCTCTGTCCCTATTCCCTATATCCCTATGTATGCTTAAATCTTTAAAACTACGCAACGGATTTTGATGCGGTTTTTTTTAATAGATAGAGTGATTGAAGAGGAAAATTTATATGTATAATAACATCCATCAAATAGTGGAGAAATACTGTTATTTTTGAGGTTTCCAATGTGATGTCGTAAATAATTACATTTATTCCGCTTACATTGCAAACGCAGGAAGCGATTTTAACCAATACAGCATTAATCCTTATCCAATAAAATACCTTAAATACATTGTTGATTCTGTAATATATCAATTGTTGTAAAAAATAAAATAAATAGGTAAAAATGTAAAAAGTAAATAAGTAAAAATGTAGTGTATGAATTTAGATATTCCAAAGATAGCAGGCAATCTTCATGGTAAATGGTATAGGGAAAGGGGAATTGTTTTACTCCAAATTTAACGCGTGCGGGCCACGGGCAGTAATAAATAAATCAAAACTACTGGATCGATTTTAATAATTTTTTCAGTGATTGACATAGGCTATATATTTTATACCCGTGCGAAGCCGGAGCGGGCCGCTAGTTAATTTATAAAAACCAGTCGCAATCGTACATGAAATCATGTATACCTACATAATTCAAAGTTGGTATATTTCAAGAACCCAATAATTGGCATTGACATTAAAAAATTCCGAGGAAAATTATTGAAAAAAAAAAAATTGTTATTGGCAAATCACAATATCCCGCAAATTCAGTGTGCCTTGTTTTTTGAGAAATTGCATTGCAGAAATTGCAGAATCGGGTACCAATAATTATTGTTTTCTCAATAGATTTCAATAAAGTTTAAGGTCGACTGTGTGGCCTGACGATATTTTTCAAGGCTTAGGAAATTTAATTTTATTCAAATGTGATTTATCTTAATACGCCCACAATACTGTTGTGAACCAGTAAATTCATCATTTTATTATTAATAACAATTATGTTCATTACATTTCATCTCTTTAACAAATTCCACCATCTGTTTGGTTTAGTCCCTCATCAATTAGGTACTTTCATTGATTATTTAGATTTTAAAAATGTGCCGGATAAAATTATTTTCATTTTTACAACCAATGTCCTGTAAACATCAATATCCCAAGAAGATGTTTCCAATTGTCGGTACCCGGTACCTCTATTGCAGGAACCCAAATTACAAACTACACTTTCAAGTTATTTAGAGTTTTACTTTCACTTTATACTGGATAATAGGTACAAGGCCTAAAAATACTCCCGAGATTTCAACATTGGAGCCAGCGGAAAACTCCGTGTTCCTAACAATACAAACACACGCTTTGCTTGCACGACCAAGTCCAAGGAATTAAAAGAAGCTTAATAAATATTAATTATTGTTAGAAAAATGGAATCAACAATCGACTACTGTGAAAATTATTTTTTAGTAACATCAGGTAAAAGGAAATAGGCTCCAGAAAACCTATTTTTGTCAACACGTCATATTTCTAATAAAAATATTAAATATAAACAGCTAAAGTAAGTGTAGGTTGGTTCGAACTAGTTCAGACTGCCAACCCAAATTTGCTTGCAAAGTTTATATACCTAAACCTACTTTTATTATATTTATAGGAGAAAATATGCTATGAAACATTAGTTTTTTAACAGCGTCATTCGATGTTTTGGTAGAATCCAGAGGATCGATAATTATCTGATAAGACATTGATAGTCAATACCAATGTCAATACCAATACCAAGTGAATGAATATAGATAAAACGGATAAAGCCATGCACCTATAAAAAGAGTCTCTTTTATTGTCTATTATACAAAATTGTTAACTCTGTAATAAACAACTTAATAAAAAACTTAGAAAGAAAAAATTGCATCCAATTTATCTCAAAATAGAGAGGAAGTTGAATCAAATAATGCTGAGTGGCTTATTCCCACATCTGGTCACCTTTACGTAAAATTTTCAAAAATCTGAGAATTTATACCTTTTTTTTAATCAAAAATCATTCTGATGTGTCTTTTTATTATGATTAAATGCAATTCAGAACCTAATTTCAAAATTAGATCTAAATATTTTTCCGATAATAAGTAAGTAAATGCGGATTATTTAATTTCTGTGAAATTATATTTTTTCTCTATGAGGTCTGGGCGAATGAGGACTGGCAATTTTATAAAAAGATGCATGTCAAGTTTCAGATCATCTGGTCCAGTCGATGTTAAAATGATAGGATAAAAAAAATTGCAATAGACTGAAAGCCAATAGCCATGAAAGGGTGATTTGTTCAGCTCGTCGAAGGGCGATTCTGAACGAATGCATTAATTATTATTGGTCAGGCACGGCGGATTATAAATAACATTTGGTAAGTACTTCAAAACAAAGGAACTTTGATATTTATGGCCATTTCCACCAACTATTTTAGGGAAGCCCTAACGATAGGAATGCCTTAAACTGACATTTCTTTATGTAAAAATGTCATTTTTGGGAATACTTATCGTTAGGGCTCCCCTAAAATAGTTGGTGGAAACGGCCATTAATGCTTTTAAAAGGGAAGGTTTTAGAAAAAGGCCTTTATCTTGAGAATGACATTTCTTGAAGATGAAAGTTGTTGAGTTGAGGGTCTAAGACGTCATGAAAATTTGAAATTCCACCAACGAAAAGAAAAAAAAACTAAATTGAATCCTATTTATCAAAGTCTATTGGAAATTGGAATAAATACATACTCTCTAAACAATTCTTTGTAACACCACCAAACTTTTTTTTGGAATACTCTTTGGAACGTTAATAATAATAAAATACCAAAATAACGAGTGTGCGACCGGGTTGAAGGGGGTAGATTCAACCCCGAAAATGGGAAAAAGATACTAACTTCTGAAAATAATTTTTCTACACCACCAAACTTTCTTAAAAATGTTCTTTGGGACGTAAATAATGATAAAATACCAAAACAACGAGTGTGCGACGAGGTTTAAGGGGGTAGATTCAACCCCAAAGATAGGAGAAAGATACTAACTTCTGAAAAAAAATTTTGCTACACCACCAAATTTTTTTAAAAATGTTCTTTTGGAAAATAATAATAAAATCCCAAAATAACGAGTGTGCGACGGAGTTGAAGGGGGAAGATTCAACCCCAAAGATAGGAGAAAGATACTTCTAAAAAAAATTTTGCTACACCACTAAACTTTTTTAAAAATGTTCTTTGGGACGTAAATAATAATAAAATCCTATAAAATAACAAGTGTGTGACGGGGTTGAAGGGGTTAGATTCAACCCCAACAATGGGAGTCTAGGAAAAAGATACTTCTTAAAAAAAAATTGCTACATCACCAAACTTTTTTAAAAATGTTCTTTGGGACGTAAATAATAATAAAATCCTAAAATAACAAGTGTGTGACGGGGTTGAAGGGGGTAGATTCAACCCCAAAGATAGGAGAAAGATACTAACTTCTGAAACAAATTTTGCTACACAAACAAACTTTTTTAAAAATGTTCTTTGGGACGTAAATAATAATAAAATCCCAAAATAACGAGTGTGCGACGGGGTTGAAGGGGATAGATTCAACCCAAAAAATAGGAGTCTAGGAGAAAGATACTTACTTCTTGAAAAAAATTTGCTACACCACCAAACTTTTTTAAAAATGTTCTTTGGGACGTAAATAATAATAAAATATCAAAATAACGAGTGTGCGACCAGGTTGAAGACGGTGGATTCAACCCCAAAGATAGGAGAAAGATACTAACTTCTGAAAAAAAATTTGCTACACATCAGCTCTTTCTTAGACATGTGCTTCTTGCATATGTTTTTTCGATTGCCCTCAACTATTTTATGGCCAAGTTTCAAAGTGTAGCAAAATTTTTTAAATGAGCTATCATTTTTTCAATTTTAAGGGTTGACTTAACCCTTCTTAGCCCCTTCCTAGACATATGCCTCTTATATATGTTTTTAGATTGCACTAAATAATTTTTTGGCCAAATTTCAAGGTATAGAAAATTTTGTCAAATTTTTAAGGGTTGAATCAACCCTTCTTAGCCCCTCCCCAGACTTATCTAGTGAAATGTGAATCTTGGTAGGTATTTTTTAATTTATATTTCAGAAATTCAATTTGCACCATCATAAATTTAAAAAATATATATATATACTCCTGGACAAAATTATCGCACCACCACTGCACATAAGCACCATAAGCAGTGGTGCGATAATTTTGTCCAGGAGTATATTTTCTGCAATACTTGTCTGGACGACTGTAAAAATTTGATTTTCATTTCTGAATCTGTGGCTAACTTCCACAAAATGGTCCAAGGCACTCAAAAATAAATCAAAAAGTTGTCTAAATTTTTCTCCTTCGTCAAAGCATTACCTGGTTCCTACTTATAGGTAAATATGAAATAGTAAATAAAAGACATACATATAAACGGTTCTAAGATGATGTTTCACCACAGCCGAATTTCTTTTCATCAAAGTCTTCAGCGAGGGCGTCAAAAGGCTTTGCAGCGCAGCTTTGTTCCTGTCGCGGCACTGCGCAGGGTGCATTCTAATGCTCACTCTTCGACCAATAAGTCTTGCATTACCCGAATTCAAATGCGCCAACCCATCGGAGAACGTGTGGAAAAACTGCGCCTGAACCACAAAACCGTAATCGGCGATGGTCATAGTGTGTATTAACAAATACAATCGATTTTCATTTGCCATTTTGTCACAAGAATCAGATTAGTGCCACCGAACTGCGGCTATGGCAAAAGTAAACGTCGCAAGTGTCTCTTCTCTTTGT